GAGATTACTTTCCCATAATTTCTTTTCTTAACTTAATTAACTTTAATTAATTAAATTAGCTTTTTCTTTTTCCTGGTGTGATTGATCAATTAAAAGCTACCACTCATAATCTCACACACACATATATATATATATATATAATTAATTAATTAATTAATTTTCTTTTTTATTGGGCATTTTATTTAAAGAAATAGAAGTTTATAATATAAGGAGACAAATGCATTTTCCTAATTTGTTATGAAATTACTATGCGTTATTGAATTATAAAAGCTTATATTATAAAGGAAGGTAGAAGTCATAGTTCCATTCTTCCTTTCTTTTTCTAATAAAGGTAAATTAGGATAGAAAAAAAAATAACTTTTTTTTTACTATTTAAACAGTTTTTATAACAATTAAAGCTAATTTTATCGGAATAGATTTGGTTTACTTTTGACATTTGATAACCATTGTTTTTTACTCGGGTAACTTTTCTTTGTTATCAACTAGAATATTGCACTTTGGACTCTTATGGTGTCGTATAGGAACCATACAATATTACGTGTTAATGTCATTCTTATCTCGAGTTTTGATATTAGCTCAACTTTGTACACGATTCTTATTGTTATATATAGGGAAAAAGGAATCACGAAGGAAATTCTTTTGTTCAAGTGAAGGACTACACGAGCTTCTTTGCTCGAGTCATCACTCAAAGAGATGAAGCTCTTTCACTTCACTCGTTTGATTAAATGATATAGTATGTTAGCAAGTGAAAGTGTCAAGGCAACGATGAGAAGAGATGTTGCATCCTTTGAACGTCTCGTAGTGAGAATTGCTAGAGGTTTGCTTTTGATATGGGTCATATCAATAGACTCACTAAGTCAACCTCGATTAGAATTGAACATAGTTATACATGGAAAAGATATTTCGGTTGCACAAGTGCTTGCCTCAATTTTCTTCGACAATGATCCACTTATGGAGTGTTGGATGATGAAAGTCCCACATCGGTTAATTTAGGGAATGATCATGGGTTTATAATCTAAGAATACACTCTCCATTGGTATGAGGCCTTTTGGGAAGCCTAAAGCAAAGCCATGAGAGCTTGGGTTTATAATCTAAGAATACACTCTCCACCTTTTGGGAAGCCCAAAGCAAAGCCATGAGAGCTTATGCTCAAAGTGGACAATATCCATACCATTGTGGAGAGTCGTGTTCGTCTAACATCCCTCTTACTTTTTTTCTGTTTTCTTCCAAAGTAAAATACCAAACTTGCACTGCTAATTCCAAAGATATTTCAGTTGCACAAGTGCTTGCCTCAATTTTCTTCGACAATGATCCACTTATGGAGAAGTTTCTTCACACAACATTGAGCCTCTGTGTTGGAGGTGGTAGTTGGGATGCTCACTTTATGTTTAGTGAAGTTTTACTACAATAATAGTTACCAAGCAACCATTGGTTTGACGTCATTTGAAAGCCTGTGTAGGTCTTCTTTCTATTGAAATGAGGTAAGTGAACGTCCATTGCTAGCACCTCAAGTCAGTCCAAGTCATGAATGATGTGATTCAAAAGATTACAGCTAGGATGAAAACAACATAAAGCAAACAGAAAAACTAGGCTGACACGAGGAGTAAGGATTTGAAGCTCGAAGTGGACCATCATTTATTTCTAAAGGAAGCTTCGACGAAGAGAGTTCAAAGGTTTAGACAATAAGAAAAGTTGAATCCACGTCTCATTGGGTTATTTGAGAATTTAAAGTGTAATAACGTGTTACTTATTAATCAGCTCTACCACCCTCTCGACTCGTAACTAGTGAAAATTTTAGATAAAAATTTCAACAATTAAAATCCTAATTTTTAAAATAATAAAAATTAAATCAGTAAAAATAGAATTTTGTGGGGAAGGGCATGGGTTTCAGTGATTCACTAGACAGTCAGTCACGTGCATGCCTCGCCCAAAAGATACCCTTCTTACAAATTCCCTTCTTTTTCTTTTTAATATATATTATTATTATTATTTATAATTATTGGCTTTATGATAATATTTAAAAATTTGAAGGCTCCTCATTGGTCAAGATTCTTTTCACTCAATATTTTAAAAATAGTAAATAAGTCAATTAGATAAATTAAAATATATCCACAAAACAAAGTTTAATGAGACACCAATCTCCCTCACATACTTCATTCTTATATTTTTTTTACTGAGGTGAGATCTCACAATCTACCCTTTTCGATCTTACCTATGTTTTTTTATTCTTAATATTGTATTAGAGCTTTCTCATTTTTAACTTGGTATTAGAGTCATGCCCTAAACTTAGCCATGTTAATAGAATTCTCAAATGTCGAACAAATGACTCCAAAAGAAAAAGGAGTCGAGACTTCAATAGTAAAAAATGACTAAGACTCCAGAAGAAAAAAGAATTGAAGCTCGATTAAGAGGAGGTATTGGATGAAAGTCTCACATTGACTAATTTAAGGAATGATTATGAGATTATAATTAATGAATACTTTCTCCATTGGTACGAGTCATTTTGGGAAGCTTATAGTAAAATCATGAGAGCTTATGTTCAAAGTGGACAATATCGTATCATAGTGGAGAGTCGTGTTCCTCTAACAGACACTATATAAAATTACCAAAGATAATTGTAACGGTCTCATCCATTTTTATTAATATAAATTATTTGATTAATAGCTAAAGAGAAAGAAAAGGAAAAAAAAAGCATTAACTTTTTTTATTTCCCTATTTAACTTTTAGGTGAACGTGTTGGACGTCGATGACATGGTGGCCAAGATCCGGCAAAGATCCGAAAGCCTGGACCGAAGGCCAACGAACTCCATCCACAACCAATCATTTTGTCTCAAAACCATATGGCGGCGGTTGAGAACCCGGCCGAGTCGGTCCTTCAAGTCGCGGTTCTGGGTCATCAACCGGTTCACCTCATTGTTGAGATCTTCCAAATGCCTCTTCTTCCTCCACCGCGAGCGGCGGGCTGACTCCCGGTTGGATAACATCCGGCGCAGCTTCCTCTGGTCTGTGGTGGTCGGATTGGAAGCCTGGGAGTCGGAGGTGGGACTGGGGGGCCCGTCGTTGAGTAGAAAGAGGGATAAAAGCTCTTGGATTTCAGTGGCAGTGAAGCCATGGTTGTCAGGAACCTCACTCTGAAACCCAACATGTTGTTCCCCCATGGTTACCACAAAACTAAGCTCGAGAGAGAGAGAGAGAGAGAGAGAGAGAGAGAGAGAGCAAAGGGGATGAAGGAAGAGGGGGTGTTGGGTATTTATGGGAGAAATGGGAGAGACACGTGGGGCCCAATAAAGCATGAAACTTGGAGGAGTGACCTAAACCTATCCAACTAATTAAAAAAAAAAAAAAAAAAAGTTTATATAATATATATATAATTTATATTAAAATAGCACGTGATTTGTTTCATCACAAAAATGTTTAAAGTTTTTTTGTCATTGCTTTCAAGCTTTATTTTTATTTTTGGAGAAAAGTAATAATAAATTTAAACCATAAAGGATCAAAGATTATTATTTTCTGAATCAATAAAATCTTAGAGAAAGACAACTAGTTTTTATTTTTTTATTTTTTTATTTTTTTTATCATCATTTTTTAAATTTTAGTAAAATTATTTAATTGTTAAATTATGGGTTGGTCAAACTTATTTTTATTTTATTTTATTGAAATAATGAATTAACCAATTTCCCACTTATTTATTCTCTTTTTGTTAAAATTAGGGAACAAATTAACGAAATTTGATAAAAATTAAACTCTTATTTAAATGGTCCAAATTGATATGACTCACCTTTTGTAAAATAAAAAGATTGAATGAAAAAAAGAATGGGATTACTCGTTTTAATTAACTAATTAACAATTTTTTTTTAGTTCTATTAGAATAGAAAAATAAAGAATAATAGAAGTGACCCTTAGAATCAAATAATACTTTAAATCTAAATCTACCACTAATTTTGTTGAGCCATGTCATCGATACTTATGGTGATGTGGCAAAATATGAGAAAGGAGTAATATAGAATTGGGTTAATGCAACATAAACAGTAGTAGTTTTTGGGTAGTAGTGCAGCGGTGGCAAGGTGGTGGACAAGAAATATTATTGGCTTTAACTTTTAGAGAAAAGGAGGAGTAATATGAGAGTGTTTAGGGTTTAGCTTAATGAAGAAGAGTGAAGCAAATAACGACATGGCGGCGTGGAGATCATGTTGTCATGGGAGATCAAAAGTTGGAAGAGGTATGGCTAACCCCATCACTTTGCAACCATCGACACTTGGATGGACGATTGAATTTATTAAAAGGAGCCTAAAATGGAAAGCCACAACCCAAAGCTATCACCCTGCTTTTGGTAAACTGCTCTGTGCACAATTTATGGGTAAGTTGCCAACACCCATTACACCCATTGCCCAAAAGTTGTTCTTTATTCTGAGTTTTTATCCCTTTCAGTGCCCGATACCGACAAGCTCTGTCATAACAGAGCCTTGAGGGATTATAGCCTCTTTCAGAAGGAGAGGAACCTGCTTATACTTATTTGGTCCCTACAATGTGGAGACAACAAGGTATATTTTGACTGTAAAGGATGGGAATATATGAAGAATGTAATAAAGAAATATACGTGCTTCAACCAGAAGAATTTGAGAAATGAATAACATTCTCTCCTAGCATGTGTTTTAAAAACTTTGAGGAGGAGCCCCTAGCAAATGTGTTTTAAAAACATTGAAGAAGCCTGAAAGGAAAAGTTCAAAGAGAACGATGTCTGCTAATTGTGAGTTTTGACCGTTACAAATGGTATTAGAGTCAGACATTGAGCGATGTGCCAGCGATAAGGCTGAGCCCCGAGGGTGGACACGAAATAGTGTGCCAACAAGGATGTTTAGTCTTAAAGAGGATGAATTATAAGATCCCACATCGGTTAGGTAAAAGAACGAAACATTGTTTATAAAGGTGTAGAAACTTCTCACTAGCAGACGCGTTGTAAAATCCTTGAGAGGAAATTATGTAACTTGCTGCTAGATTTTAGTAATTTCTAAACTTGATGGGCAGAAGCGCAACATATTATATACATAAACTAGAGTTTATAGGCCAAAGAACACATACATATCTTACCTAAAAGAACAAAATAACTTCTAAGAAGTGTGTTTCTTTAATCCTATTTATTCAATCGAAAACGGCAGCTTTTTTAACCTAACCCTGAAAAGTACGGTCTGTTTTGCACTTGATCCGGGGCCTTGCCCCATGCCTCAAAACATGGCATGCACATTATCGAATCTCAAGTAGAGAAGATTCCACGTTATATTTACAGCAGATTTTTGTAGAGTTGTCTTTCCTAATTAACAATTAGTTTTTAGCCTTTAGCTTACGAAACGGAGTCCAGATTTACCGTTAATGGAGGCTAACATGCAAGTTCTGCACCTCTCCCCCTAAATCGAACTTTTAACCTGCACAAAGTGAACGAAATTAACATGGTATTACAAATTAGAAGCCAGTTTTTTACCAGCATTATTACCTTAATGTGTCTACCTTGATCTGTATTATTTACCTTAATGTGTCTACCTTGATGCCGTCAAGTGCCTATTGAGAATTGTTGGGAGAGAATTCCACATTGGCTAATTTAGGGAATGATTATGAATTTATAAGTGAGAAATACAATCTTCATTGGTATAAGGCCGTGTGAGAATACCAAAAGCAAAACTATATGAACTTATGCTTAAAATGGACAATATCATACTATTGTAGAAAATCGTGATTTTTATAAACCCAACGGCCACATATAACTTTGTTGTGGCACATATAATTCTAACCTAGATGCGACAGAAAAGTGGGTGATATGCTCAATAAAGCGATGTTCATACTTGGTATGTATGAATAGCATTTTTTAGCACAGATTGCTCGTGTATTAAGAGGACCAAGCCAGAACAATAAAGTTAGCTACTGTGGAACTTCGAGGAATACGGCAAAGGCAAACAAAAGCCTCCGTGTAGCTTACAAACTCTAAAAGCTTGTTAACTAAGTACATTGATCCTGCTCACACCTTGGCCATAATACTAGAAATGAATGAAAATGGACTCAAGTTCCAATAAGGGAAAGAGTGGATAAAATTTAAAAGTAGTTGAGACTTGAAAGCAGGACAGCAAGAGTAGAATTTTCGGGAAAAAAGGTTCTTTTTATATACAGGATGATAGGCGTTCAGCTCATTGGAAAAATAAATAAATACAAATTCCAGAATAACACTTAACGGAGAAGCAATGCAAAGTGCTTTCCATCCATCTGTTGAACGTCATATTTGGGTACAAGAACAACTCAACAGAAAAAAGACCCAACTTGGTTTAAATTACCCATCACGAGTTGGAATCTCTCACCTCCTATTGCTGAATAAGATCCCAAATATTTTCCGGAGAATTGAAGAACTTAGGATTTGATTAATAAATATTAAAGAAAAATATATCAAGTGGTAGATTGATTCAAACTCTAGAACTAACAGAGAAGGTCGGCTCTATTCAAATTAAAGGACATGAAACGTCCATTATTAGTTCAGAGAAAACATAACAATTGATTAGTTACATCCATCCTACATCCTAGATCATACCAAGGAACAATGAATTAATGCAACACCCCATATCCACAAACGTGCTGGAGAAATTTGAACAAAAAGAAAGTTCTTCCCCATAAGAACCAGATTGGGAAACTCAGTGTGATAAATTTATACCGCATTGAAGAAAAAAATATACCGTCGTATGCATCACAAACCATTTGGTAGCTGACAAATCCAGAGTATTGAGTAGTAATCTGCAGCATTTAGGACAATGTGAGTATTTGTACCCAATACTTATGAGGAGATTTCATGGTTCATGTCAATACTCATATTTCAACACAGTTCAAATCTTCTACTCACTTATAACATGAATTTACAGATCAGTGAAAAGGGATAAAAAATATATATATATAATATTTAATTCCAAGGGAGATTGAATTAAGAATATTTAACGAGGAGAACCCCCTTTCTGCTAGATGTGTTACTCATAACAATTATTCCCCATCACCAAAACAGTACAGGCAGCCCCTTCGGATAAAATTGCAGAAATAACAAGAAAAGCTCTACATTCTACAATCAATTCAAGTAAAAACCTCAACATAAACCAGCATGAAGTTGAGCAACACTAAGATTTTAACATTAACATAAAAGTTTGATTTACTATGTTAAAATGAGATCCAAATGAACATCAATGCACGAACAATCTAGTAGCCTCAACCAAGAGGTTAGAGGTTCAAATGGTTTGAATCCCTCCATAGAAGCTCTTGACAACAAGTAAATAATAGTAGTTAGACTGCTTGAAAGTGAACCAACTCAAACCTTGGAATTCTTCGTACTTAGAGAATCAGAATCCGTACCCAAGGCCGTAACATCACTAGAATTGCAATTTAAACAAATAATAACCCCGAAATTTCAACAAATCCATTTGTACCACAGAGAAACAAAGTTGAAATTAGTAGAACTGGTACGACCTTAAGTTCAGAAATGTATCAACAGTGTGACAAGCCCAAAATTTATGCATAATTATGTATATTAAGCCCAAAAACAAGGATCAATTTCAACATCCGAAGCATCTGGCTCTTCTACCACAGCTTGTCCGATTCTTAACCATGCTCAACAATTCATATCAACAAATTAAACACAGAACCTCATTAATTCCGTATACTTCTATTTTACTTCAACTTCAAGAAAAGCTTCAGCACTAATATAGATGAAGCGAGATAGTAGAACTAGTCGAAACAAAACAATTGTCAATAACCTGATAACAATAACTCTCGTACATCTAGTCATCGATCACGATTTATCACAACGTCAACCATAATATAACTACACTCTACAGTCTCCAAGAATACAAATGTACGAAAATCAAAATGATCAGCGAGTCGGCCGAGAAGAACAGACTGAATGCAGCAGGAATTAACAATCGAGAACCAGAATTTGAAGCATAGAAACGGAGTATACCAGTGAAGCAAGTAATGATTAATGTCACAAGGCTCTAGCCAAAAGAGAAGGAAACGCAACAGTCGTACCTGCAAGGAGTTTCTCCTCCATCTCCGAGCATATCTCCCGGAAGCTTTAAATTTCTAAAAATGATATAGAATGCAGAAACAACATGTTTGAATACGCTCCGAGTTCTGAGAGAGATTATGCATTAGAACAGAAAGGAGATGAATTTAATGACCAGGTGGCGCGATTTCTTTTTCTGGAAAATGCGGTGCGTTGGAACCGATGAAGCAAAAGAATAGAAATTAGTCAATTTATAAAATTAAATTACCTGGACAACAAAGTCGTTGTAGTATAGTGGTAAGTATTCCCGCCTGTCACGCGGGTGACCCGGGTTCGATCCCCGGCAACGGCGCTTTTCTTTTGAATATAAATGTCAAATAATGTATAATTTAATTGATTTTTTTCGGTGACTAGAATCAATTAAACTAACCATGGAAGTAACTAAAATAAAATAAAGTCTCGAAAATAAATAAATCTTATTCAAACCTAATCCATCTATGATTGAGCGTCGTTTTCCATGATTTCGACATTTCAAATTACATCCACCTCAAAATGAAAAAAAAAAAAAAAATAGCTGCATATAATTAAGAGATTGGTGCCCTATTAAAAAGGGTATTCAAAAATAAAACAAATACAAACTTGGTTGAAGAATGGTTAAGGTGTGTGGTGTTCCTTCCAAATATGAATGACTCGCTATTCTCTAACGTCAATATCAACTAACCTATCTTATTCGAGAAAAAAAAAAATTAAGCACTACGAACTTATCAACTATGACTTAAAAGAGTCACTCAAAAGATTTTTGTGATATTCGATATTAGTTAGAAAGAAGAACGAAACAGCTTTTTAGTAGAGAAACTTTTCCCTAACAGGTTTTAAAGCTTAGGAAGAGCTCATGAGACAAATCTAAAAAAGACAAATTTTTTGTTATTATTTTTTATTTTAAAATTTTTTGGTAAAAAGTAAGAAGTTGAGCATGTTAACTTAAATATGCCAATAAAGGAAAACAAGTGGCATTAAGGCTATAGAGTCACCATCTCATCATTACGCCAGCGATTCACTCGCCAATATAAAACCCTCCACGCCTCCCTTCCATTCATTTTCATGTCACAATTCTAGGCCAAGAAGATGTCGAAGTTCATAGCTCTCTTCTCCATTGTAGCGCTCGTGACAATGTCTCTTTTCTCCGCCTCCGAAGCTCGTCCCATCGCTACATCCACCTCCACTTCCCTCGACTTCAACCATATTGCGCATCAGGTACCCTAAAATCTCATATCTCTTTGATCATGGTTTACAAGTAAGGAATACATCTCCATTGGTATAAAGATTTTAAAACAAAGCCATTCCGGAGATCCTTGATTCCTAACAATTCCATCATGAAATTAATGTTTACTCGTACTTTAATCAGGCCATTTCTGAAAAGGATCACGGCGATGTTTGCGAGGGAGGAGAGACAAAGGAGTGTCTGGCTAGAAGAACGTTAGAGGCTCATACCGATTACATCTATACCGATAATACCAAGTCATGAGCTGCTGTATTCCGACCATTATATTAATAATTATTTTTATGTGTCTCTTATGCTATCCTCATCCTCAACTAATTCCGTAACAAGAAAGAGTTAGGAATTGAAGCGGTTTACCGAAAATGTATAATAATTTAAAATATTTAGAGAACGGACCAATTAATAAATATAAAATTGAAATGCATACGACATTACATGCATTACATGTCTAATATATGTAGTGATAACATTTTAAATGGTGTTATGAGATTAAGCTCATAAGAAATCTTTTAAAACTATAATGTTATAGCAATGAACATGAATTCAAATCAAAATAAAAACAATATTTCAATCTAAATTAAGGGCTAAGAAAATAGACATGAATGTAAATGCTCTAATTCTCGTTCCATGATCTAATCTAAGGGTTGCTGTATTTAACGAGTGTCTAGTATTAACAGCTCTAGAGAATGCTCGTCTGACTATGAAAGGGACCTAGGAGGTGTACGAGCTGATTGATGGGTCTATACTCGCACATGTGGACCGTGTGTAGAACAGTAAATACACATCCAATTACCCGTTTAGGATAGGCACCTAAGGAAATATATACTGGTATGATAATAGGTCCCACTCATGATTATATGTGCTTACATTTAATCCCAATAGTGGGATCAATATGATGTGCTACTTCTATTTTGAGGTAAAGTCAAGACACCCTTTTACAATTGATGACGACATCGCGAGACCATGACACATGCATAGGGTAGTTGTATTTATTTTCTTAGACATAGATTAAAATATAGTTTTTTTTTTTTTTTTGGTACTTTTAAATGCTTATTGATTTCACCAAGTGTTTTATTGTGTCGTATTAAAGATGTTTTCGAACACGTAAATCCATGACAGTGTTTTAAAATGAAATTTATGTTTTATATTGAAGTTTCAAATAATTATTTCTACAGAAAATGATTACGTTATATTCACAACAACAATTTTATACTATAAAATTCTAGGGTCATTATAATTGACAATATAATTTTTAACACAGTTTTTTCTTGAGTTGTATCGTCCCCCTCCTTAATTTATATGTAAATAAATAACATTTTCTTTTTATTATTTTTAATTTTAATTAAATCCATCGACTAAAAATATAATATTTATTATTACCAAAACTACCCTTTATCACAACTTGTTCTTAAAGTTTCCTATTATTTCACTACTTATGTATATCACGCATTCCATCTTCCATTGATTTAATATTATAAAATAATTTTCATTTTCTCATATGGAAAAATGATCCATCGTCATCTTGTTAGTTCTATAAGGGGAAAAAACGTAGTTATAAAGAAATAATGTATTCGAGGTAGATCGAAGGAATATATGTCGATTGCAGTAAAATTGTGTTCATATTATTCATAGATTTATAGCTTATAGTGCAGATAGAAACTAGTTGGCATGTGACACCTGAGTAAAAGAAGACTACATTTGTGATATCCCACATTGGTTGGGGAGGAGTGAAACACCCTTTATAACGGTGTGGAAACCTCTCTCTACTAGACGTGTTTTAAAGCTTTGAGGGGAAGGGAAAAGTCCAAAGATGACAATATCTGCTAGCGGTGAACTTGGGTTGTTACAAATGGTATCAAAGCCAGATACTGGACTATGTGCCAACGAGGAGGCTATTCCTCGAATGGGGTAGACACGAGGCGACGTGCCAGTAAGGGCGCTGGCCCCAAAGAGAGGTGGATTTGGTAGGGACCTTACATTGATTAGAGAAATAAACGAGTGCCAGCAAGGACGTTGGGCCCTGAAAGGGAGTGGATTGTGATATCCCACATTGGTTTGGGAGGAGAACGAAACACCCTTATAACTTATTCTTTATAAGGGTGTAAAAACCTCTCTCTAGTAGACTTATTAGATACCGAATTCAAATTTCGAAACCAATCACAGATGCAACTAAAATTCATCGAAAATAAATCAAGCTTATCCAAATGTAATGTATGGTGAACAATTGTCAAAACAAATAGAAGCAATCATATACATGAGAGATTAGAGATTGGTGCCGTATTGAAGAGGGCATTAGGAAACAAAACAAACACACATAATGAAGAGAAACAATGGTAGGAAATGTACGGAGTGTGTGGTGTTGCTTCCAAATATAAATAAATTAGAGTACGACCCATACTATTTGAATAGGAGGTTGTATGCTTCGTATCAATTCCCATTCCCAAGATTATCGGATAGATCAAGACAAGTCATTTTAGCATGTTTTGTTCTCACTTACATGTATCTCTAGATAAAACACGTCTAACCATGAAATTTTTATAATTGAGCCATCGAAAAGGAAGGTGCACTCTATTGGTATATAAAGTGACTTCAGTTTTAGTAATTCAATAGAGTTCCTATGATTGAACCATCGAAAATAAAGGTGTACCTTGTTGGCATAGATAATGACTTTCAATTCTAGTAACCCTTTCTTAATCATCATATTTTTAAGATCACTCTCATTCCCATGTCAAAAATAAGTTGTTGAGTTAAGTTTTATTCTCCCGAAGAAAACTCACTTATAAGCCTTAAATTTGCCCCAAATTCTACTTTATAATTCTGAGTTAATATAATTAGCATATCATGTTAGAGCTAAATACACTTAAACTCATAAGTTGAACCATGACTAGTGTTGATATTTAATATTGAATTATAGTTTACTGTATATATCATATTTGATCCTTTATTATAGACAAATATATAGATATTTTCTTTCCTCACTATAGGTATCATATTTATCCTTTCATTACGAACAAATATCTGGAATACATTTATTGTAAGCTTCCTTTATTACTCTTTTCATATTCTTGTAATTTATTTAATTCTCTGAATGATTCTAAACCATTGTAAACAGAGAACTTCCATAGAAAATCTCCAAACAAACCAAAAGTAAAGTGTTTGAGTTGTGGAGAAAAATGTGAGTTTCGAACAAATTGTACAAAGAGGAAGCAGAATCACAGATCAGAAAATGACACTTATTCTATAATCTGCTTAGTTAGTCGGATTGAAACCTAGATTTTAGATTCACTTTCATTGGTACTTTGGAGAACAGATGAGTGGACAATATGATTTTAGCTTATAAAAAAAAAAAAAATATATATATATATAGTTAAATTGAAGATCAGCCATGCAACAAACAAAGAAAAGATAAATATAGCAAAGCCAGCAAGTAAAGAGAAACAAGCGGTGTAACGTTGAAACCGTCTCCAAATCATTTCTTATAAAACCCCCCAACAAAACAGGCATCCTCCACGGCTTCACCGCATTCATGTTCAAGACTCAACTCCAGGTGAAGATGTCGAAGCTGGTGGCTCTCTTCTCCATCGCAGCGCTCATAACAATGTCCATTCTCTCCTCCTCCGCCGAAGCCCGTCCCATCACTACAACACCCACCGCCACTCCCTTCGACACCAACCGAATCACTCATCAAAAGGGTCATGAAGATGTTTGCAAGGGAGGAGAGGCAGAGGTGTGCCTGGATAGAACAACCTTTGAGGCCCATTCTGATTACATCTATACCGATGCTATCAACTCATGATTATTCGCACACCCACTCCTCTGCAAAATGTGGATCAATTATTGTTCCTCTCTCATTACTACACACTTCATAATCAAATTATATTATTATTCTTATTATTATTGTGCTGCAAATCCATCACCAAAAACCAAATTACTATTTAGATCAGTTTCCCTCTGAATTAAACCATTTTTTAGTGTTTCCTTAAAGCTCTTTATAAAATTATTGATGTATGCTATGTTAAATGATTATATTATATTTTAATCGTTATCATGAATATTGTGTTATACTAGTTATTGCAAACTATACGAAGATATAGTGTTTTCAATAATTCTATAAAAGAAAGGGTTGTGCACGAAATATTCCTCACATTCTGGCTCTTATGGGGTCCTTAACCTACATTAAAACATTTAGGGTATGGTTAATGTGTTTGAAAGTGATAGCACTTATATATAAAAGTGATGTGTACTCGACGAGACAAAAAATTACGAAAGTGGTATAGGTATAGTAGATTTTATGTGTACAAAAGTGGTGCACACACAACTATTTGTGTATGAAAGTGATACACATCTACTTTGAATGACACTATGATCTATATGGGTCAGTGCAAGATATGATTTATTACATATGTACATGAATCTACTAGACAGATTCATTATCGTACGCTATAGTCTCGTGCACGTTCATACTAAGTGTACGGAGAGGAATATTATAAATTCTTGTTGCCATAAAAAAAAAAAAAAAAGAAGAAAGAAAGAAAAAGAGATTTGGTAGAACACATGATTTATGAGAAGGTGAAGTTGGGGAAGGTGGCATTTGGGCCGACAACGAGCAATGTTCTCGTGTCTGATAATTACCCAACACCATCTGCACGTGACTCCAATTATATTAACATTCAACCCTAATTTTATTAATTTTCCCGATACATGTGCTCCTAAAAAGGAAACCAAGATTTCACGGTTCACCAGCTTCGAGGCCCAATGTCCTCCCTAGCACTTGTTCACTTCATCAATTGATGTGGGACGTTCCAATCCATTCCATTTGAGGCTTTAGAGTCTAGTGTCCTCGTTAGCACTTGTTTACTTGTCCAATTGATATAGGACCCCCAATCTATTCAGGGCTCCTTGCTAGCACACCACCTTGTGTTTACTTCCTTCCGAACTCTGTCCTCTTTGAACGCCCGAGAAATTAGTTATGCATCAATATGATCCATAAATTTTAAAAAAGCGATCTTTTATTGTATAGTTGTTGTAAGCTTACACTTTGAAATGAAGATGGAATCCGGGTAATTTAGACTACACAATTTCAATAGCTCTGATGATCTCTGTTTTACCTCTTTATTGCACCCACTTTGTATCACTAGCAGCAACTTGGCCGCCAATCCTGCATCCACCGCAACCACCGCGCATTCCTCCGGCGCCACCTTGAAAACCGCCCATAAAATTGACAACGCAAATTCAGTACAAATCTCAGATACTTTCATCAATAATTTCACCAACATCTTAATCGTTTCTTCACAATCTTTCAACGCTAATCTCCCCTCTGGAAGACACGACAAACCGTCGAGAATGTAAAGCGCTGATTCCAACCCATCACCGTTGAAACTGGACAGAGCACCGCCGAGTTTCGCGACGGCGCCGATGCTTACCAGTTGCTTTTTTATGGATTCGTTTGAACAGAACGATCGGAGTAAACTAAGTCCGGCGGTTACTCCATTTGGGTGTTTTTGATCCTTTACCATTCTCAACAATCCCACGAGTAAACTCAAACTTGAAACGCTCTCTGTTCTTGAATCGTCACCGTCCATTATTTTCTTGATGAATTTCGTGCAATTGATCTTGGTTTCGATGGAGCCTTCGTTTAAAATATCTGCAATTAGTGATCTTCTTGTGGGTTGAATCAAATTGTTCTTTAACTCCGAATCGAGATCCAAATTTACGAGAATCCCCACGGCTTCCGACCCAACTGCGTGGGAAGTGAAAGAACCCAAAAGAGAAGAGATTACAGCGACGCCGCCGTTGTCGACCACCATCTTTTTGGCGGAGGAATGGGCGGCGACAACATGTCGGAGATCTTTCAGGGACTGAACTCTAGCTTGACCCTTGACCTTCTTCAATGAATCCAAAAGCTCTGTTACTCTCCCCTGAACGTCCTCTGATTTCTTCTTGAACGCTAAGAACTTCTGCGAAAACCAGGTGTGAATCAACTGGTGAAGGGTCCGATTGGGTGTAAGGGAATCGTCCCAAAGCTCTTGCATTGTTGTGGGGCAAGTCAAATGGCCTAAAGAGAACCATTTCTGAATGTTGCACCGCTCGTAGGTCTGCCCAGAACAGAGTGTCACCGGGTCTTGCATCGGCTCGAGAGAAATTGGGCAAATGAACACCGATGGGACCTCTATCGACGATTCCAGCTCCACAATCATCTTCTTCAGATCTAACTTCTCCCCACCGCCACCGCCACCGCCACCGCCGCCTCCGCCGAGAATCCCATCTTTGACGACAGTTTCCAGATCTAGAATCTGCGCTCCGCAAGCTACTACAAGCTTGGGATCCCCTGCTTTCCAAGTAGACGGCTGGTATATCGGCATTATAGAAAACCCTTGTGTACACTACACTACAGTGTCGCTCTCATTGACAATCACAGGCAAAAATGTTAGCTTTTCTTTGTTTTTTTGGTCTCTTTATCTGAGATTTCCCCTGCTTTCCTTCTTCATTACACTAATCCAAAGCTTCCTATTCGAGCTCTCAAAAATGGCGAAATAGTCAAACCCAGATCAGAAAAATCATGACCCACATCGGAAAAGTAACAGAAACCAAAAGAAAATCACCAGAGCGGAGGAGAAGGCTTAAACACTTCCACAAAGACTGCCCTTAAAAACCCTAAGAAAGCCATCATTTTTGTAATGCTGCAGAAGGACCGTGCAGTCTTCTCTCTTGTGTATGTCTCCAAGAACATCAGCTGGAACGTGGCCTTGGTTTTTTTTTTTTTTTTTTTTTTTTTTTTG